AGACAGGGTCTCACTGAGTTGCTTAGTGCCTCACTGTTGCTGAGGCTGGCTTTGAACTCGCCATCCTCCTGTCTCAGCCTCCTGAGTTTTTGGGATTGCAGGTGCGCACCACTGTGCCTGGCTCCAGGGGGGTTTCTTGTGGGTGTGTTTGTTCTTAGCCTAGTGAGGTAATCCCAGCAACACAGGAGGCTAAGAGAGGAAGGTAAGTTTGAGGCCAGTCTCAGCAACTTAGTGAGACCCTGTCTCAAAAAAAAAAAAAAAATAAATAAATAAATAAAATGAAATAAAATAAATAAGATGGGTGGAGGGTATAGGGGTCCTTGGATAGCAGACCCTGTCCTGCAGTGGGGATTTCATGACCTGAGACACGGTCACTAGCCAGCCTCCCTGCTTTTATATTTTTTATTTTTTTTATGGGGCCCCAGGAATGGAGATATATATATATTTCACTAGCGGTAAAATTCACAGGACATAAAATTTACCATTTTAGCTGTTTTAAAATGTGCAGTGCAGTGGCAGGTAATACATCCAGAATCTTCTGCCACCATCACCAGGTGTCTGTGCTTAAAGGAAATTAGGCCACTAGGCAGTCACTCCCCGTCCCCGGGCTTTGGCAGCCGCCAGTCTGCTTTCTGCCTCTGCTGTTCAGTTTGGTGAGTGGAGTCTGACGTGTGGCCTTTGGTGTCAGCACTGTGCTCTCCGGGCTCCTCCATGCTGTGCCCTGGCGCAGGGCAGGACCAGTCCTCCTCCTCTCCCTGCTGAATGGGGCCCCCCTGTGTGGGTGGAGCGCGTTTATTGATCTAGGCCTCTGTTGACAGACAGCGGGTGGCTTCTGCTTTGGGCTGTTGAAAATAGTGTTGGCATGAGTGTGCACACACCAGTTTTTGTTTGAGCACTGCTTTTAATTCTTTGGGGTTCCACTTACTGAGAAGACAGCAAACTGTTTTCCGCAGCAGCTACACCACTGCACATTCCCCCGAACCTGCCACATCCTCCTTAGCGCTTGCGCTTTTCTTTTTAAACAAGTTACAGGCTGGGGCTGGGGTTGTGGCTCAGAGGTAGAGCGTGCACCTTGCACGTGTGGGGCACTGGGTTTGATTCTCAGCACCATATAAAAACAAATAAGGGTATTGGGCCCATCTACAACTAAAAAAATATTTTAAAAAATTATAGGCATCCTAGTGAGCCTGAAGTGGCGTCTCATGGTGGTATCAATCTGCCTTTCCCTAGTGACTAGTGATGTCAGGTACCTTTTCCTGGGGTTTCTGACCTTGCTATTACCAACGGTGCCATGGTGGACAAACCACTCTCCTCCTCTGGGCCTCAGTTCCTCATCTGTCCTAGCTGGCCTGGGTAAATGACCTACAAGGCCCCTGAAAGAGTTTTGAAAACACTGTGCCCCTTTGGCACTGTTTAAGGTTGATATGTATGTGTTTTTTTTTCCACCACTAAGGACTCAGAGTATCTAATTTTCTGGATATTGCCAATTTTGACATTTTAAAAATAAAACCATGGGGCTGGGGATGTGGCTCAAGTGGTAGAGCGCTCACCTGGCATGTGTGGGGCGCTGGGTTCGATCCTCAGCACCACATAAAAATAAAATAAAGATGTTGTGTCTACTTAAAACTAAAAAGTAAATATTAAAAAATTCTCTCTCTCTAAAAAATAAAATAAAATAAAACAAAACCGATCCTTACTTTATAGACGCAAAACCCACCCTTTTTTCCTGCTTCCCCTGTCATTGATCCGGTCACGTCCTCAGTGAAAAGCCAAAAAGGAACCTACTTTGCACCCCTAGATACACCAAAAATCAGAGTTCCCAGATAATAGGTCTTGGGGACCTCTTGTGAACCTGAGCTCTGTCCAGTGCCATCTTGACTCTGACCTTTGTTTTACCATCCTGGGTCTGGTCCAGGGTTAGCAGGATCTGGGAAGGTCGCTGCTGGCCCCTCGGGACAGATGGTGGGAATTGGATATTCTGGGTTCTCATGGTGTCTTCCCTTTGAACCCTTGTTGGCTTTTTAAACTATTCTAAACTACTCATCAGCCCTAAGGTCTGCCTCCTCTACTCTTTGCAAGAAGATGTTCCCTGCGTGTACCTGCCTCAGGCTTTCCTTGGATAATTCCTTCACGGTGGGGTGGGGGTGGTGGTGGTGGGGAAGCAGCAGGGAGAATACATGGGACCCAGTGAGATGCAGATGGGGTGACAGTGGTGCCCACAACACACGGTTCAAGGGCAAGTTCCTGCCCCCTTCCTCTTCACCTCTGGCTCGGTCCATTTCTTCCACTGAACTTGACTAATAGAAACGTTTTATGCTTGGAGAGAATGCACTGACCACCCAGAGTCTCTGCCATAGGAACATGTACATAATCTAGATTTAAAATGCTTTTGTTTCAGTGTTCAGCAAATCTGTTTTGGATAGAGTGACTGATGAAACCAGCATAAATACGTGAAAATTGTGGCAGAAGTTTATTATAGATGAAATAAGTTAAATTTTTGCAGGGCTCTACTTCCTAGTGAGAGGGACTGGTGTGTGTCCAAGGACACTAATACTTATCCAGGTGTCCTTGGATAAGTATGAGTGTCAGAACCAGTTCCATCCCTGCTTTTTTTTCATTTATTGGTGTAGACGATGCAAACTGGTTTACATAAGTTCACGCACCGTGGTGAATAGTTTTGTTAGAGCTGTGTCACTCTGCTTTTTGAACTCTGGAGATTGAAGCCCAAAGCCATAAAATGATCCTTCACTCAAACCACCACAGAACCCTTGGCCCCATGTGTTCTCCCCGCTGAGAGCCAGGACTCAGCTTCTTGTTCCCCAGGTCCCCCTCCTGCAGCCACATGGGATGGGGGTGTTATGGATGGGATGTGGGGTGTGCCCCAAAAGCTCACGTGTGAGACAACCAAGGAGGTTTGGAGGAGAAATGATTGGGTCATAGCCTTAATGTAATCATCGGAGTGATCCCTGGTGGGATTAACTAAGTGGAGGTAGGTATGGTGTGGCTGGAGGAAGTGGTTCATTTGGGGGATGGCCATGGGGTATATATTCTGTATCTGGAGAGTGGATCCTTCATCTCTGCAGCCTGATCACCACGTGAGCTGCTTCCCTCCCCCATACTCTTCCACCAGACGTCCTGCCTCACCTCCAGCCCGGAGGAATGCAGCCGGCCTTCTATGGACTAAGACCTCTGAAACTGTGAGCCCCTAAATACACCTTTCCTCCTCTACATTTGTTCTGGTGGAGTCTTTCAGTCACAGCAGTGAAACAGGGGGTGTCCTCCAGAGGCGACCGGAGGTCTGTGATTCCCTGGGCCCAGCTCCTCACTGGCGTGTCCAAAGTTTGGGGACACCCTGGGTCTGGGGCCAAGTGCCCAATGGCCACACTAGCGCCAGGCTCTTGGGGTAAGGTTTCCCAGGAGATTGCCAGCAAGAGTGTCAGGGATGAGTGAGGGTTGGGGACTCTGGGGCAATGGCACTGAACTCCTGTCGCTAATAAGGGCTAGGGCCCACTGCTGCGGCTGAGACCACGGGTCCCTGGGGTGACCCAGGCAGTACACAAGGCAAAGGAGTCACAGAGGTCAGGGGCAGCTCCTGTCTGATGCGCGTGTGATTTTGCTTTGGAGTCCCCTGTGCCAGCCAACCCCCAGGGGCATGTTCCAAGCGCACTGCTCAGGTGTGGGGTCCGTGCGTGTGTGTGTGTGTGTGTGTGTGTGTGTGTGTGTGAGAGAGAGAGAGAGAGAGAGAGAGAGAGAGAGAGAGATATGGTGTGTGGGCTGGGACGCAGTGCATGCGGTGTCAGTGTGTATGCGGGTGTGCACCGTGTGTGCTGTGTTGTCTGCCTGCATGTGTGCGGCGTGTTTGTGTTACATCCTGTGCCTGTGGTGGGCGTGGAGGGACAGGCCCGTGTGCGTTAGAGGGATGTGCACTGTGCGCCAGGTGCCCGCGGCGGTTCTGTCTGCACCCAGCTCTGGGCTGTGCCGACTGCGGCGACGGTTGCAGCCTGCAGCGCGGGAACGCAGCCCCGCGGACCTAGCCGGAGCGGCGGGTAACCATGGCAACAGATGCTCCTGCCACCCCGCGCAGCAGGGGCCGCTGCGCACCGCGGTCGGTGGGCGTGGGGGAGGGGAGGCCTTGCGCCCCAAGACACCGGCGGCGAGCCCTGCTGCCCTGGGCTCGAAGCTTCCCCGACGTCACACCCTCTGGGTGCACCCCGGGAGCGTTCGCACGCCCGTCCTCCTCATTCCCGGCTGCTGGCCTGGGGACCAGGGAACCTCACTCGGGCTCAGTGTGGCCTGGGGTCCCCTTCGCAACGCGCTCACCGCTGTTAGGTAGGAAGCCGCAGGCGTGGCGGTCGGCTGCCCCATCCCCAGTGCTGGCCGCACAGCTGCCCGTTCTGAGGGTGGGGAGGCCGCCGCCTTAGGGCCCTGGGCGGCATCCCAAGCAGAGCTGTCCTGTTGTGTGAATATTCAGATGTTCCTTCTGGGTCCTCCCCCCAAGACCCGAGGGACCCCAAGTTGACACGGTGGGGAAACTAGGTTGGTATCAGCAATAGCACCTCGGGGGAGAGGGCTGGCCAGGTCCCACCGGAATGGACCTGGGTGGAATGCCCCTTCCCACGGCCACCCAGAGCCGCCTGGTGAGGCCTCTTGGTAGCCTGCCTCAACCCAGGAGGTCGGGCGAGGTTCTCACTCCTCCGTCCATGACCTTTATCAAGTGAGGGATTCTAGAGCGTGGTGCCCAGCGGCGGCGGCAGGACTGGAGACCAGTCAGAAGTGGACCCTCCGGCCCCGCGACCCGCGGATTCAGAGGGGTGTGTGCCCCCGCCCCGCGACTGACGGAACCGGAGGCTGAGAGGGGAGGCTCGCTGCTGTTGGCAGCCTTTGGGCGAAGCACAGGGCCACAGTGCCCCTTCCTCCACGGGGTCCCAAGAGAGACCTGGAAGTCCTGGTACTCTAAATACCAGTTCGCTTGGGGCTCCATCTAAGACCGGAGCCGACTCTCAGCGGTCCTCCGCCCCCTCCCCGGGCTGATCCAGCAGCTCTGCGGGCGCTGCAGAGGCCGGAGGAGCGGAGGAAAAGACGGATCCCAGTTCCTCTCGGTACGTCCGAAGCGGCTGGAGGAAGCTCGCGCAGGCGTTGAGGAGCGCACGAGCGCCGCCTCCTGGTGACAGCGCCAGAGCCGGCTCTAAAGGGGCGGGGCCACCTGACAAAGGGGGCTCTCTGTGTCCCTGCCGGTGCTCCCTGTCACAAACCAGCCCCTGGACTAGCAGATGATGCCCGACGTCACTGGGTTTCAGCTCTGGGTTTCCTTGGACTCTGCTTCATGTGGACCGATAGTGGACACGTGGCACATCTCTGTCCACAGAGAGGCCCGACGCTGCCCTCCAGAAACTTCCTGGCTGGCCAACTAAATGAACTCATTCTTTGTTACTTAATTTTATTTTTACTTATTTTGGTGTCAAATCCTATACAGAACTGGTGAATTTTAATGTGTTCTTCAAGAATATCTTCTTCACATTTTAAAATTGCTGCAGGTTACTTCATTCTAAAAGGGAACATATTAAAACAGCAACAATAACAAAAGCCAGAAAATCAGTAGCAGTAACCCGAATTGAAGGTGATCTTTAAAATCAAATATATGACAAATAAAGCCAGGTGACATTTCATTCTGGGCCCACTGCTCTGAGCTTGGCCCCCGCCCTCACCACACAGGAGGGTCATGAAAGACGTGGGTGGATCACCTGCTGGAACCTTTCTGCTAGAGAATCAACAGGGTGGATTTGAAAGGGGAAGGGACTTTCTCACTCTTAGATACAAAAGCATTTGTCAGTCTGTCTTTTCAGAATGCTTGGGCCAAAGCAGTTTGTGAGGACTAACTCATTTTGTCACCGGGACCACCCTGTGAGACAGTGCTGCCATGGTCCCCGAGTTAACAGATGAGGCACCGAGACCCAGAGAGATGGGCAACTTGCCCAGGGCCATGGAGCTGGTGGGAGCTGAACTTGAACCCAGGACATGCTGCTTGGGGTGTGCCTCCACACACATTGCACATACAGGGCCGCGGAGATGGGAAAACCAGCCCCCGCGTGCATCTGGTCTGTGTCCTGACACGGGAGGCTTGTCCTATGGACAGTGGGACAGACAGAGGGTTTTCCTCCATCCTCTTTCCTCTTGAGAAAGCCAGGCGTGAGTCTCCACGTACCTGCTGGCCCAGACCCTAGAAAGCAGACTCCAGGGGCCGACCGTGGCTCAGTGGTAGAGCGCTGGCCTGGCACGCATGAGACATGGGTTCCATCCCCAGCACCACATAAAAAACAAACAAAACAAAACCCAAATAAACAAAATAAAGGTATTGTGTCCATCTACCACTAAAAATATTTAACAAAAAAAAAAGAAAGAAAAGGAAAAGGAGAGCAGGCTCAGGGGCTGAGCCAGTGTGGCGACCTTGAGTGCGCGTCTGGTGGGTTTCTGGGGTTGGTGGTGCCTTGCCTGCCCCTGTGAGTGTGCGCCCTTCTCGGCTGTGAATGTGGACTCTCGTGCTCTCCTCACCAGGTGGGCAGGCTCAGGAGGGTCAAGACTGGAGCCGGGCCCATCCAGGCAGAGTCCCAGTCCAGCCAGAGCTGGTGGGGGTGGAAGGCTGGCCTGGGCGGGGCCTGGGTGTGGCTCCAGGCAGCAAGGATGCTGTCCCTGGGAGGGCAGCCCGTGCTGGGGAACTCCTGGACGTGGGATCCGAGGCCCACAAGTTAAAGTGCAGAGCTTTCAGGCCTAGGCAGGACCCAGCTCTGGGCAGCTGGTCAGGCAGCTTGGAGTGCAGGCTGGGATGGGTCCTGGAGACTGTGGCTGAAGCCAAAGGTCCAAGCCTGAGGCCCGGGAGGAGCTCATAGGTGGAGGTAGGCTAATCTGGACAAATGCACACTTGCAAAAATGTGTATGGCCTTGCCCCAGGAGAGTTACTCTTGAGAGGGACAAACTTGCTTGGCAAACTCAGCTGTCTGCAGAGGGTTGTGATCATCCCCTGGCTGCCCTCTACTGGGCACCTGCCCGGGCATGCGTGTGCCCTGTGCTGCCTTCTGCAGATGAGAGCCTCATCCTTGGGTAGCACAGGGAGGTGGGCTTGCTGTAGAGTCCCAAGTTTCAGGTGAGGAAATTGGGACTGAGGGAGGTATGGGCTGTGCCCAGTGCCACAGCTCCTGGGTTGGGGATCAGGACTGGAACACATTTGTCCTCCTCCAAAGCCTGGTTTCTAAAACACAGTTTTGAATACACAGCACTCAAGGGGTTTCATACGCAAAATGTGCAGGAGAAAGTCCTCCGCTGCTGGCCCCGTACCGGAGCAAATCAACACGACCTTATTTGCTATTTCCACCTTGTGTGTTCTTGCTGAGCGCCAGGGATCGCAGACAACACTGCTTCCCTGTCAGGTCACAAAGAGCCGCCTCATTCCGTTTCCTTCCCAGCGAAAGCCCACCCTTGCTCCAGGAACGGCTGGCTGTGCAGCGGGGGGGCCGTCCTCAACGAGAGTGAATTGCTTCTCCTGTTTGCCAATGTCCTAGGGAATTAGCAGTTTATTACATACGGGGCCAGTTCCTGGACTGCACGGAAACCAGCCGCCCTTGGGAACAAAGTGCCCTCATGTTGGTGACTGTGACCTGCCAACCTCGATGGGACTCTGATGGGATGGGTCCCTTTATCCCAGGGGTTCTTTGTGCTGGGCAGGGCCCTCCCGGGTGATGGCAGTGGAGGCTCAGGGCTCGAGGCTGGAACTGGTGGCCAGGGTTCCAGGGGCAGTGTCAGCATGCTCTTCCCGGCCACAGCTCCGTCCCTGCAGGGGTCCTGTGCGCCCCCGTGTGGCCACAGATGGCAGCGCCTCTTCTGGGACTGGGAGGACCAGGGCACTTCCCCAGGCCTGGGTCTGGAGCTTGCTGACCCCAGGAGAGGGGAGAGCTCTCTCGCTCTACCCCTGCCAACCTTTTGCCAGCTCCTCTGTGTGGGCCTGGGGCATTCTCAAGCCACAGCCGGGGGCTGTGTGGGACATTCCTTTCGACTGTGACACCTACGCCAGGCACGGCTTTGGAGAAGGAAACTGGCCACAGGACGGTAGCCTGAGCTCCAAACTGGGCTCGCCAGCTGGGCTGCAGGCGCTGAGCCACGGAGCAGGAAGCCAGCTCTCAGCCACGCTGCCGCAGACGTGGCTCCCGAGGCTGGCTCTGGGTGCTGCTCCCAGCACCGCGTCAGGGACCTCATGCTGCCAGCTTCAGGTCCATCAGGAGAGAATCTGCACCACAGGACGGGGCGGGGGGGAGGGGGGGCGAACGCTACAAGCCAGGGCTTTTGTTCTGGAGAGTGGGCTTGCTAGCACACCAGCGTCTCTGGGGGACCCTCCTCCGGGATGTGCTTGGAGATCCTTGGCCTTTCTGTCCCTTGCTTGTGAAGTACTCATGTCTGCTGGCCCCTGTGATTCTTGGGGAGAACAAAGGGTTGCGAGTTTCTGTGGACATGCTGTAGGGACGCCACGGTGCCCTCTCTGTGCCGGAAGGCTCGCTTCCAGGACCTGAACCTCAGACGCACAGGGGGGGCCCATGTTGTAGCCAACAGGACTCAGGACCAGTTTTCAGGGATTGAAAACTGTTCAGACACAGCTCTGTCCCTTTGCATGGGTCAGCCACAGCGTCTGGGCTCCGACATCCTCATCTGCATGAGGGGCTGGGTGGAAGGGTCTCCAGGGTCTCTTCCAGCTCTGACATTCAGCCAAGTGTCCCCAGCCACCCACCAGCTGCCCCCGCATCCCACCACGAACATCTCCAGATCCCTCCTGGAAATTCCACCCCGTGGCCACGGGCTGCACCCTCTCAGTGGGCCACTCCCTCCTCTGTCTGCGTTCTGGGGCCAGGGGCTCCTCTCTGGTCCCATGGCCTGAAGCCCTATCATGTGTAGACAAGCCAGTGTTCACACGGCAGCCAAACCGCGCTGGGCACCCAGCTCCTAGTGCAGGCCCTGCATCTGCTTTACCAACACAGAACCCGGGTGTCCTGGCGCCGGCCCCTCCACAGCTTCCTGCTCCGTGGCTCAGCGCCTGCAGCCCAGCTGGTGAGCCCAGTTTGGAGCTCAGGCTACGGTCCTGTGGCCAGTTTCCTTCTCCAGTGGCTCCACCTGCCACAGTACCGGAACCTCACCACCCGCATTTGATCTTTATCCTCACCCCTCACGCATTATATCTCCAAGAGCCTGAAAACCCTCCGTCCTAACCGGCTCTTCCTTTCTTTGGGAAGCGTGCCTACTGCTCCTGGCTCTTCCTGGCCACCCTCCAGTTTAAAACGTCACCCGCCCTGCCTGGGGTCAGTCCTGTCTGAGTACGGTCCCCCCCCACCCCCAGCCCCTGCCGCAAACTTCAGACTTCAGAGTGCGTGGCTTTATTCTGCCTGACCAAGGGCCGCGACTGCATGGAACAGAGACCCAGGGTGGTCTGTCACTGGCACATGGGGATGTCCTTGAGTGGGCTGGCTGCTGGGGCGTCCTGGGAACCTGGCCTGGCAGCCTCTCCCGACAGAGCTCACTCTGCTTTCTTCGTGGATCGTGGATCGTGTCTGAGGGGCCCAGAGCCTGGGGCAGCTCTGGGAAGGACCAGGGAGGTGGGCTTCTGAGGGAGGGTGGGGCTGCCTGGGCTCCTGGCCGTCTGCTCTGTGATGTCCTCCAGCCTGAAGCCAGCAGCTGAAGGGCCTCTCAGGGTCCCACGGAGTCTCTCCTCTGTGGTGCAGGCTGGTGGTCACCAGCTGGGCAGGGTCAGAGCCCTGGGCCGGCTGCCTCGGTGCACGGAGGGGTGAGGGTGGGGAGCAGGGAGCCTGGCCGCGTCCTCCCTTCTTCCTTCCAGCCTCTGGCCTTGCATGGTAGGGTGTTACGTGACCTTGGCCAGAAGAGTCAGGGTGCCCAGCAGTGCCGACATCAATGGAGGCTGCCCCTTCGGCAGGAGAGCAGACCCCGAGGGCAGTTCTGGGGGGAGAGGAGGGATCACATTTCAGCCCAGCTCCTCCACCGAGGACCAGGGGCTTCCAGCTGTTCCCAAGAGCCCCCAAACTTCCTCCCCCACCACTCCCAGGGGTGTGTTGGGTGGCCAGGTCAAAGGGTGTGCCGGCCTACCTGTGTGCCTGTGCCAGCCTGGGTCTGTGGACGGGGCGGGGGAGGGTGGCCCTCCTGTGGACGGGGCGGGGGAGGGTGGCCCTCCTGTGGACGGGGCGGGGGAGGGTGGCCCTCCTCCGCTCGAGCGCAGCATGGGCTTCAGGGTGTCGGGGTCCCCGTCGTTGGGTTCAGGCACGATGCCCAGTAGCTGGCACATGAGCTCGTACACGTGCACACTCTCAAAGGGCGCCACCTCCAGGCCCTCCTTGAAGCTGGGGCCCACGGCCCGGAAGATGGTCTTCATGTCCAGGTCCTTGTTGTCGAAGCCGTGCTCCCCGTTGTTGAACTGGACGTTTATTCTCTGCAGGGAGGGGTGGGGTGTCCAGTCCTTGCTGGGAGCCCCAGCACCATGGAGCCCTCTTGCCCTCTCGGCATCCCCCGGGGGTTGGCGCCCAGGTGGGCAGATGACCTTGGGAGGGGTACCAACTTGGGGATGGAGGGATTCTGAGACTCGGCTCCTCTGAATTCTGAGACCATGAAGATCGGCCAAAGACATGGCCTTGGCCAGGAGCCGGGGAGGTAACTGGAAGGGGCTGGGCTTCTAGCGTGGGGCTGGCCTGGGCCTCCTTCAAGGGGGTTGGGATGTGTGCTCAGTGGCCACCTCCCCTGGGACTGCCTCTCCCTGCTCCACTCTGTGCTCCCCTTCAGGACCCCTTGGCTCTGTGCCCGTTCTCCCCCGCGGCTGGGCTTCCCACGCACAGGTGCACCCGCACTCCTGTTCCTAGTGCACACTGAAGGGTGAGTGCCCACACTGGGGACTAGCTAGATACGGGGCTCTCCTGGCCCTCAGGGAGCCGCCCGCCGGTGAGTGGTGCGCCCAGCAGGAGCTCACCCCATGGATGACGTAGCCGGGGTCGCTGTACATGACCAGCGGGGCGATCCTGGGGTGGTCGGCATAGTGGAAGGACTTGGGGAACTGCTCCTTCTTGTAGACGTGCAGCCGGGGGTGGGCGTCCTTCAGCACACCATACACCTTCTCCAGCCTCCCCTCCTTGGGGATCAGCATGCCGTTCGGCCCGTAGTCCAGGAGCTCGAACTCGATGTCCCGGAAGGTGAAGTTGGGGAACTTGTGGAACTCCACCAGGTCGCTGGCTGTCTTGTTGACGGTCGTCATGCCGTGGTCAGACGTGACGATCAGGTCGAGGCTGCCGGCGAGGCTGTTGCGCTCGATGCTGTCCCGGAGGTAGCCCACAGTCCTGTCCACCTGCCTCACCATCTCCTTCCTCTCCGGGGACTCTGGGCCGTACCTGTGGCCCGTGGAGTCCGGCTCCCCGAAGTAGAGAGTGACCAGAGCCAGGTCCTCCTCTGTGAACCACCGCATCACCGTGTCGATGTTGGCCCTCCACTCCTTCTCGTCTTTGTAGTTGTGCAGAATGCCCTCCTTCCGACTCAGCGTCACGGCGGTCCCTTGGTAGGTGACGTTCCCACCAGGGTAGAAGAAGGAGCCGGTCTTCAAGCCCTGCCGGGGCAAGGCAAGGTGGCACTGAGCCCACAGGACCCTTGGCTGGCAGCCCTGCTCGTCCTGTGCCCACGCCCACCTTGGCCGGCTCACTCGCCCCTCTCCTGCCCGTGTCCCCCAGGCTTTTTATTTTCTGAAGTAGCACTTATTATTCAATCTGTTATGTCCTGTCTTTCATATGGTCCCGGGTCTCTGCGTCAAGCCTGACCTGCCCAGAGCTCTCTCTGGCCCTGAAGCCCAGCCTCCCCAGTGGGTGCAGGCAGGTGTCTGTCCATCTGTCTGTCTCGTGACGTCCCCTGCCCTCCAGACTTCAACCTAGTCATTCATCTTTCCATAAATTGATGCTGCTTCATTTCCAGATCTGTCTGCCTCCTGCCCTGGCCAGCAGGCCCGCCTGCCAGCCCACTGCCCCAAGCCATGAGATGCCAGGTCCTCGCTCTGACACTCTGCTCTCGAGCTGCCGGAGGGGGTCCGAGCCCCGTATGGACAGGCAGGAGGTGACTTAGGTGCATGGAAGCACTGGCTGTCAGGCGCGCTGGGCTCAGAAGTTTCCTCTGGGCTCACCTTGAAAACCTCCCCTTGAACTTGTTGCCTGGAGTGGCACCTCGGCACTGTGTGAGGTGGGATTCCTGGCTCCACACCGCCACCACCTACCATTCCACCCGTGACCCTGCAGAACTCGGCTGTCCAGCCCGCGAGGGCCATGGGTGCCACGCAGATCAACCAGGTCGCTACATGCTTCCTCGTGGTCAGCCCTGCCCCGGGGCCACCATGGAACCAGCTACTCAGCTGTCACCAGAGCCGGACTCCCGGCAGGCCCCGGGCTGGGCTCTCCCACTCTCACAGCCTTGCCGGCCAGGTCCCCGTCCCCCCTGGTGTCTGTGCGGGCAGGGCCTCGTTACCTGCCTCTGGGCCGTGATCCAGATGGGCACACTGCCATTGTCCCACCAGCTCTGGATGCCGAGTGTGGCGTGGTAGGGCAGCTTCACCTTGGTGGTGAAGTTGTAGAACATGTTGTGGACAACCCCGTGGTTCTCGATGTATTTGCCTGAGGCAGGAGGAGGCGGCAGGGCGCGGAGGTGAGCCCCGGAGAGAGCCTGGCGCATCCCGCACTCGCCTCCCCCGAGCCCTGCTGCTCGCCACCCAGATGGGATGGGGTCTCTGCTGAGCAAGCCCCCCGGGAGCTTTATTTGCCCTTGGTCAGTTGCCACCCATGGGGAGGATCATGTGGGGACCCCCTCTGCAGCAAGTTTCTCACTTTGGCGTGCGTGGTGCCTGGGCAGGGCTGTGCCCGCTCACCTGGTGTCTCAGGCCCTGCCTGCCCCCAGGCCCGGCCAAGGTTAGCACTCACCAGTGACCAGCGTGAAGTGGCAGGGGCTGGTCTGGGTGACGAAAGCCGGGGTCATGTAGCGAGCTTTTACCCCGTCCCGAGCCATGGCGTCCAGGTTGGGGGTCTCCACGTCCAGGTCGTAGTTCCAGCGGAAGCCATCGAAGGACACGAGCAGCAGCTTGTTCTGGCGGTCCTGCCTTCGGATGGGCACCCCAGCCCCTGGAGCCAGGAGGGTGGCCAGAGCCCCAGCGAGGAGGGTGGCTGAGGCTCTCATGACGGCTCTCCAGAGGGACAGGTGCAGGGTGTCTCAGGCCCAGGAGGGCAAAGTCCCAGGGTCAGCTGGGCCGTCTTATCTCAGGCTTCTTCAGCGATGGGCGGGCGCACAGGCCTGGACGCAGGAACGCTCCGGGCCCCGAGGGGACACCTCTCAGTGTGGGCTGCTGGGCACCTGAGCATCCCCCTCCTCCCAACAGGGCCCTGGGGCTTTGCTGCTCCCTCCCTGTGCTCCAGGGTGGGTGGGGTCCTACACAGACCCCAGCCCTCAGCAGCTCCTGGCTTACTCTGACCCCAAGGACACGGGGGCGGGATGGACTCCCTCTCCAGCCAACAGTTTACCTGGTGAGAGCCTGTGGGTGGGCTTCCTGGGCCTGGGCCTGGACCCAGCCCAAGGCCTGCCTCATCCCTAGGGACCTCCAGCCTGGCCCCTTCCCCTGTCCTCTTTGTCCACATGGTGGTGGCCTGAGCCAGGCGGTGGCTGTGGGAGCGGGGACGTGGCTGGACTGGAGGTGGATTCTGGAGACGTTGATGAAGTACTTGCTGCTGGCTGTGTGGGAGTGAGCCGCCCTCTCAGTCTTGTTGAACAGCAAACTGGCCACAGCGGCCCACTGCCCCCTGAGTTCTGCTGCAGCTAGCAGACACTGCCACAGAGCGATGCCACCTCTGTGTGCCCTCACAGCATCAGCAGCCCCCGCCGAGGCGCAGCCGTGTTCCCTGGCCAGGCCCAGGGGGTGGGTGTCTGGGCCCTCCCTCCCCAGGCCCAGGAAGCACACTTTCTGGGGAGGCTGCCATGCCACCAGCCTTGGTGAAGCCAGTGTGTGCTGAAGGCTGGGAACCACAGGGCAGGCTGGCAACCACCATGAGAGGACAACTCGGGGCTGAGGTGCAGGACAGCCACGGAGACTGGCCCCCTGCATTGCACAGACTCCCAGTGCAGGGGACACTGTCACAGCAGAATTGCAGGCGGCTCTGGGAGAGGGAAGGGACTTCCCGTTGATGAGCGTTGGGGTGAGAACCCAGAAGGCCCCTCTGCTCACCTGGGATTTGCATGAGACCTACTTAGAGGATGGACTGAACTGGGAAGAAGAGGGCAGGAAGGCTTCCTGGGAGAGGGACACACGTGGAGGTGAGGGAGTACTGGAGCTGGGAGGTGGGCCAGGCGGTCCTGTGGGCTATGGAGGGCTCTGGGTATATGCTGGGCTGGGCAGGGGAGTCATCCCTAGTATCTGTTCTTCTGTGGCAAGATGGCTGCTGAGAAGGAAGACTTCATTTCCCAGCATTCTGTGCAGTGAGGCTTAGCCATGTGACTAGATCCTGGCCAATGGGATGGTAGAAGCAATCAGGTGGGGGCTCCCGGCCTCTGGCTAGAGTGCAACTTCACTCTCCTTTGCTGATTCTTGCCTCTGGTGCCTCCAGCACCAAGGATCCAGAGCTCCTGGGATGGTGGGAACTAGCCTAAAGAGCCTGGTCCCCCAAGGTGTCCTGGGCAGTGGCCCTGCCAGCTGGCCCAGGGCTTCTCAGCCCCAGGCTGCATCCTCCCAGGGGGAATTAAGCCCACTTCTCCATGATTTGGGCTGGCAGTCACTCTCAGGGGACCTCCTCCTAGCTGAGAGAGCCCTAGGCCTGGGCCCTGGGGTTCAGCTGCCAGGAGTGGGCGGGAGGCAGGTGAGTCAGGAGCTGGTCCGCAGTCCAGGGCCTGGCCAGGGCTGGCTGCCTGGACAGGAGTGGATGTGCTGGGGCTGGCGCTGGCCTTGGTGGCTGGTGGACTGAGTTCTCTGCATTTTCTCTGACTGATTCCTGCCCAGGTTTTGACAGGTCTGTGACCTCACCTTCTCCGGCCTGCTGGAGATGGCTCCAGAGACCTGCTTCTGATAGTCCCAGGAGTCTCAGCCAGGCCTGGGCTGCTCCACCTGTTCTTGGCTCTCTGCTCATTCACGGGTTGCCACGGGAGCTCCTTGGCCCATAGGCTTCCCTTCGTAACCTCATGGGTGTGCGATGGTTGGTTCTAGTGATGGGTAGAGGCATTTCCCATATCCCGGCACTGGGCTCTATCCAGGGTCTCATCAAGCTCCGAGGTGGTTCTTGGAGGCAGAACTTAGGAACAGCCTTGCTTTATAGGCAGGAAGCTGGGGTAGAGAGAGGGTAAGGTGGCTTGGTGAGTGGAGGGGCTGACGTTCTGGCTCCAGAGCCCCTCTTTTAACCATGTCTGCACGCCACCAGTTTACCAGCCTTTGTTCATAGGACCCCATTTTCAGACTCCGGGGCTATTGGCTTCTTTAAGAAATAGTGCAGCCATGGTGGTCATGCACGCTGGGTCCCCCCACCCCGGTTCCCTTTCTCCTCTCCATTGCACGGCTTCCTTGGGGTGCACTGCCTAGAGAGGGGCTGTCGGACAGGGATGTGAAGGCTGCGTTGTCATCGGGATGTTAGATACAAAGACTGACATTGAGCTGACTCCATCAGGCTCTTCTGTGTCAAGGCCTGACCTTGGCCTCTGTCCTTGGCCTATTTAGTCCAATTTTAGGGAAAGTCTTGCTGTTTCAACTTAGGGAAATGTCTGAAAATCCCATCTGATTGACCTGTTGGTAGCTGTCTGCTCAGAGTCCTCCTCCCGTAGCCCCCACAAGGGTCCCTTCTCACCCTGGTCTGTCTGCAGCAGGAATCCTCTGCCACCCCCCAGTCGCCTCCCAAGCCCCCCCCCCCCCCAATGCAGCTGCATCCAGACTGTGCTTTCGATACGGAAGCGTTTGGGGGACCCCCAGATCCGCACCATGACGGAACTTCTTGTTTCTCAACAGTTTGAGGCAGAGGCAGAGGCAGAGGCCGTGTGAGAGAGCTGCTCCCCGCACCCCGGCCCCGCTCGGCGCCCACACTGCTGGGGTGGCGAGCGCCGAGCCGTGTGGGACTCACTGTGAACCCAGGCCCACGCTCCCCGCAGCCGTTCCTATTTTTGACCTAATGCCCTTTCCTGATCCTGATCCCACCCAGGAGCCCACATGATGGCTGGTTCTCAGGTCTCCATGGGCCCCTCTGGATGTGGCCGTTGCTGAGACGCCCCTCGTCTTTGAGGATCTGGCAGTTCCGAGGGGCACTGGGCAGGGGTTTTGTAGGGGGTCCTCTGGTTGGGCTTCCTCTGGGGTTCCTCCCATGGTTGGACCGAGGCTGTGGGGTTTAGGGAGAAAGACTCAGGGACAAGTGCCTTCTCCTCACATCACACTGAGGGACACACCACCCTCAGGACCCGTCCCTTGGGGTGTCAACTGGATGCCTGGCCGAGGTGGAGCCCAGTCGGTCTCAGACTGCTGCTGCTCCCACTCCCCCTGCCCCACACAGTGGGCTCTTTGGAAGAAGGTCGTGATGGGCGCTCACACTCCAGGAGCGGGGTGTTCTGCACCTCTGTGGTGCCGGACCTCCCTAATGTATCTGGAGTTCTGCTGGGGATTCCCCCAGGCCCACTTTCAGCCATTTAATTGGTCAGCGTGACTCACAGCCTCTCCTATACCTTGGGTTCGGAGCCAGGGCCTCTTAGTCTATTTCGCGACTCGTGTTGCTCCAGCTTTGGCCATCGCGAGGGCTGTAAGTGGGCTCCCAGGTCTGTTTCACATATTGCCACTGTGTGTATATGCGTATGGCATGTGTGTTTGTGTGCACGTGTGTGGGCATGCCCTGTGTGTGCACACATGTATGTGTCTCTGTGGGGTGCGTATGTCACACTTTCTGGCTCTCTGACACCACAACGTCCTCCCTGCAGTTCCCTGGCCTCTGTCCTGGGTCCAGGCAAGTCTCTTATTTAGGATCTGGGCCCCGGGTTGCTCTTTGCCAGCGAATGGTGGGAACGGTTTGAGGTCATTGACCCAACTGTCCTGGGTGGGGGCTCCCCAGCTGTCAGGTGGCCCGAGCTTGGGGACATGGGACCGTGTGCAGCTCTGGGTGCAGAGGGCCCCTCCCTGAGGATGAATAAGCATGTGTGTGATCACTGCGTTGGGTTCCTGGTGCCTGGGTCCTCCTTGGCCTGGGGGCTGGGTAGATGGACATCTGTACAGGTGGAGATTGCCCCACGTGGCTGAGTCGTGCGTGGGGCTCAGGCCCCAGAGAACCACGTCTGGGTCTGAAATGGCCCTGCCTGGGCCTGCGCTTGTCTGTGCTGGTGGCCAAGGCATAGACGGGGCAGTCCCTCCGTGGGTCAGCGAGCATGTAGCACCCTGTTCTCACGGGTGGCCTGGTGTGATGCGCTTGGCCACGGGTCTCCCCAGGAGGCTCCTGTCCCGGGGCCTGGCGCACAGTGGCCTCTCCTGCCTCCTTGGTGGAGGTGCAGTGGGTGGGGTGGTGTCCTCGTGGAACTTGCCTTCTCTGGCCGGGGTGCAGTGGACTGGTGCTTCTGGACCTGGGGGAGGGGAGCAGACTCATCCCTGTGTTGGAGTCCTGGAGCCATCAAGTCCACTCCCAAGTTCCCCTTGGTGACGAGTGGCACGGTTGGGTCTGATGGCTTTCCCTGACTCCCAGGGCCATGTCCCCGGGGGTGTCAGCCTGGCACTGCTTGCTTTGGGGGATGTTGACAGCAGGCAGCCTGGCTGTGAGTCTGGCCGGCTTGGAGGTGCCCACAGGGCAGGGCCATGGCCACAATCTTCCCAGACAGGTCCAGGGTGCAGTGGTCACTCCCTCGGCCCTCTTGGGAGGCTTCATCCACATGCCCTGGGACAAGAGTCTGGGGGACGGCTGGAGGTTTGCTCTGGGGCCTGGCTGGCACTCAGGCTATGAGCTGACGGCGGTGTTTGGAGGTGAGGGCGATGGCCCACTGCAGCCCAGGGCTGTGGGTGGCAGGCGGGTGAGGGGCCAGCTTCTCTCCTGCAGCGACTGAGGTGCCCACCCTGCACCAGCAGACGCCCACTGTCAGCACTGCCCCTTGGCCAGCGCTTGTAAGGCAGATGGCTGCTGTGGCCTGTGATTCTGGGCCCAGCCCGACCTTTGCCACCGCAGGATTTTATTAGTGGGACTCTCCGCTGTATCAACTGCGGTGCCTTTATCACTTCTCAGGGGCTTTATCTCAGCGGTGCCTCGCCTCCCGGCTA